AAATTTATCGGAAAAAGTTATACATACAGACGTATTTTTGGAATGTATTCATAAGAATTTGTAAAATATTCTAGTTGTTTTCATCACCTGTTTAAAAACGAATCCGATGTTGGGGTGATGTTGCTCCTGAACGTCCCAAGAAACGCGACGATTTCTCTGCTGATGATTATCTTGCTGATGATGATCAATGGCGTGATCATCGCGATGATGACCCCAGTGGTGACAAAATATCTGCTTTGTTTTATCCACCAGTGACACGCTTCTTCCGGGACTGGCCGGATGCGGAAGTGGGAAACTTCCGGACGCTGTTTTGCGATGACCCGAGTTTGGGTTGGATTTACCGGTCGGGGTTTTATTGGGAAATGATAAATTGTACCAAGACGATGATTTGATCGATTTTGTCGACATTTCGTCGTCGTCGTCAGTGTCGTCATTGTCACTGACGACTTCGTCATGTACCGGATCACTCATTGACACTTGATGGAGAATTTTGCGCTGACGTTGCAGCGCAAAATTTCTCGGGTTCTCGGAATTTCGCATTTTTCCTCTCTTTCAAACTTTTTGTTGAATACAAAGAGGAGAGAATGAATAATTTGCCAATGCCTCGCAACCAGTTTTGAAATTATTGTGCTCAGAAAAAATACAATTAATAGTTTTATTACATCAACAAGGAAAGTAACGACTTATTTATTTTAAGAGAGTTCCAAAAATTTGACTTTTAATCTCAGGATTCAGATAAAAGTTGACAGACCAAAGATTTGTACTGTATATTCAATTGAAAATTCAAGCCAATAAATCTCATAAATCACTTATAGTTGGCATTCTCAAATTATTTTTCATATGCGCAAATCATATTTCGAAATTTATGTCAGAATTTGATAAAATTTAATATAGCTCCTAGTCTCCATATCCCAGTTTGTCTAATTATATTCCTGCATGCTTTTTCGATGTCTCTGAAGTGTCTAAGAATCTTTCTGACCAAAGAAATATTTTTACATTCATCTACGAAATAAATAAACGTACCAGTGTAAGAATAATAAAAGCATTCTTTAAGGAATCCTCAGCTGCTGCACCTTTTTTGATGAAATTGTATTCATTCCATTGCTTTCCCATTATTCTTGAAAGCACATATAAAGCCTTGAACATTTAAAGTCTCTTGCAGCAAATTTCACTTTTTAAAAATCAACTTGAAATTGTTGAATCTGTTTTGGCCTTTTGAACAAGTGAACTTAAAACTTATTTTATGGTACTGCAATAAGAATAGCTTTTGAAATCATTCGCGTCTGACTTTGGATTAAATTTTTGGAAGACTAGTTCATAACTACAGTATATTTTTATTGAGTGTTGATAACTTCCAAATAAAAGCCAAATTAAATGAACTATGTTATGGAAGATTTTCCACCGACAAAAAAATTGAAAGTGTCATACCTTGAAGAAGATAGTGAATTTAAAATAAAATGCTCCACGAGAAACATTAAAAACTCCAAATTTTCGATCAGAACATCCAGAAAAAGTCTCGATCTATTACAATCATATTATAATTATTTTACTAAATCGCAACATTTTTGAAAAAAGTCACTATATATATATAATTAACGCAAGAATTGATTCAATTATTTTACCAGCAGGAAAGACAGTGTGAACACTGTAATTTTTAAAATCATAGGTTTTCAGATTTCATAGGTGTTGCTGGACACCAGTCCCAATAAGAAAGCAATACAAAGAAGCACTTGTTCATTTCCACTGCACTCAATCTTAACGAAAATAGGCATGAGGGAATACTGAAGTGCATCATCTCACATCTTTGTGTCAGTAACTCTCAAGAGATATGATACACTCAAAAAATGACGCATCATAAATTACTGGAAGAAGTGTAATGCCGCTTTTTGTAGATATGAACGACATGAGAACATTTTGATGAAGAATGCATTATACATGCAGTACTGTAGTGAAACAACAGTGAATCGTAACAGTGTTGCATGAAGACCATTGAAGGATATGAATGTGATTCTTGATTTTTTTTTTTCTATTACAGCAAATGTGTTCTTGAAAAGAATGAACATGAAGCCAGTGTGTCAGAGATTGTTTCCCCATATGCATTGCCCCAAAAATCCACTATAAGACATATCAACACATTTTTAAAAACTGAAAATAAGGAATTTATCCAAAACTTGTGGAAAAACATAAAAGAAAGTGCTTATAAGCTCGCCTTTTCTTGCCTTCAAAAAATTTTGGAAATTCAGATGAAGATCACATCACAATTTCATCAAAATTGCTTCGATTTCATGCTTTTAAATTGTCAATTTTATGCTGTAAACTATGAAAACGCATATAATAATGGTTCACTGCGGCCATTCTGTAAGGGGCCTGAGACAAATAAAATATTTTATAATGCAAAAATTCTGCTTGACCAAGAGAACCCAGGAACATATAATTTTTTAAAGCATGTATCAACTGATGCATCCTCTCTGAAGTGGATTCAGACAGGGACAGAACCAAATTTTAAATTGGGCAGTTTTTTTGACTCCGTGCGGTTCAATTTAAAAAGGTCCACTTTTAAAATTTTGTCCATCAAACTGGGACCCAAAAAGAGAATTAATATTCTAAGCAACCATGTGTTATACCGATATTCTAAAGTATACACAGGTGAACTCACTCTCCACAAATTCAAGGGACAATTTTTTGTGAATTTTATATAATGAATATAATTTATATATCGAGTGTATATATAGTGATTTTTATATAGTGAAATTCAAGGAACCAGGGAAGAAAAATTGCTTTAAAAATAATTTCCTTGTAGAGAACAAAATTTAAGGGACCAGTGAAAAAAATTCACAAAAATGCCCTTGTAGAGAACGAAATTCAAGGTACAAGGAAAAAATAATTTCGTAATTGCAGAGAACCCCTAAATAAAATGAAAAAAATTATCTACATACAGACAAAGTCGGTGTACAGTATTATCAGCGGGGATATACATTTCCTAGGAAAGTAAATTCGACCCAAGGTCATCGCAAAACAGGCGACCCCAGCAGCGCGAATTTTACACCATCAGTTTCTGCACAAAACGATAAACACTCCAGGAACTCGGACCCAACCCACACTCAATTCCTTCATATATAGTCTATAAAATTCCGCAGGTTTGGCACACAATACCTATCCACCAGGAATTATATTGAACCAGGTCAGACATGAGCTGGCAAGCAACTAATGCCTGGCAACCTGGGGGCATCTGAGCAACGCAACCAATGTTCAAGCCCCCTCCCCCCTCCTTTTTGCGCGGTATACCTATATAAGGAAATCGCCGGTATAAGGGGAACCCGGGTTCCCTCCTTTCCTGTGTATATGCTTTATACACGGCCCGTGCCGTGGGCTCACTATTGTGCGCCTGCCAGGAGGGTTTTGATGAGGAAAAAAGGGGGTGAAATGGTCCTGTTTTGGGGAGACAATATGTTCCTATTTGGCAACAAAAAAAATTTTCTTCCGCGCGAGATTGGAAATCTTCGAAGTACAAGGACAGCTGTGTTATATTCAGTACCGTTGCCAAAGTGCTCCAAAATCATGTGAGACTCAGAAAATAGCACTTTATCAAGAGAGAAGGAATAAAATAAAACGCATTTGATTTTATATCACTGCCTTTATTTTTGCAAAGTACTTTAATATTGTGAACTAGTAATTCGTCCCTATAGATGAAGAAGATTTTTATCAGTATTTTAGTGCGTCCGAAGAGTTATTACCCATATTTTTTTTTAATTCAGATGTTGAAGAGAAAGCCAAAAATTAGTTTTAATTTATGACTCGAATTTCGAATCATTTTTTCTTGACTCTGAAAAATCAAGCCATTCCTTGCCTCCTCACAAAGTTGGCGCTTCAAAAAAGTGTCAAATTTTTTTTTCAAAAATCTGGAATTTCTCTCAATTATGTAGGACACCGTTTTGTCTAATCTAAAATATCGAAGGGACCATTTTTAGTTTTAAAAAACCTGTAAACAAATTCTGATCAAGTTGGAAAAAAAACTACCCCAAACATGAAAGGTTTCATGCAAGATTTTTGCTTCATTGATCTTGCTTATTTCAATGCTAAAATGGATGCAATTTTTGAAAAAAGGGAATACCGTAAATCATCATTTCCAGACCCCATTTTCAAGTTTAATCTAACGCAGGTGTCACGTCCCAAAGCAGCACATCTGCAACTGGCCAAGAAAACTTGTTGCATCTCAAGGCCAGTGAGCCTAGCCAAAATCCTGTTTTTGCAAGACTCTCATTTTCAAGTTTAATCTAACGCAGGTGTCACGTCCCAAAGCAGCACATCTGCAACTGGCCAAGAAAACTTGTTGCATCTCAAGGCCAGTACGTGAGCCTAGCCAAAATCCTGTTTTTGCAAGACTCACTGAGCCTCACTCAAGGCCAAGAAGTGGTCACCACTTCCTTGATTTTCTCCAAAATTGGCCAATCCTGAGCCAGAAAGAAATCACATGATTCCTTCCTGGCCCATTCTGAGCACCTGGGTATAAAAGCCTTCATCCCTATTTGAAAGGAAGTGAGAATCTTGTGTTAAAGGTCCTTTTAACTTGAATTATTTTATTCATTCTTCTGAGCTAGCCAACCAACCAATCTTACAACTGACTTTGCCATTCCAAGCATTTTACTAACAGCCAAATGATGATCTGGTCAATAAGAATTAACTTGTCTGAAAAGAGTTTGAGTTCTTATTCAAAACTTGCATTCTGATGGCTGCACAATTCAATTCCTTTGTCAGGGATCCAATGGACCCATGACAACAGGTTTACATATATACATATGAAAGTGAGGAGAAATGTCACGCACCACTTCAAAGGAAATCAGATTTTCAGCAAAGTTTGCACATTTCATGAATGCACAGGAGGTTGAAGTGCTGCCAAATATTTCAAACCATTGCAACGACCTGCGTATATGACAATACTGTCCCAAATCATGTGACCTATTTCCAATGTAAAATCCATTTAACCTTGTCGAGGTTCAAGCTAGTGACGTATAATGTGAAAATTGTCCACATTTTGCATTAGCCACTGCTAAGTCCCAAAGTATTTTTGAATTTTCCAATACATTTCTAAAATTATCTGAAGATATCTTCAAGATTGGCTTCCAGTGATTTTGACTCTTATAATCATAAAAAATACAATTGAAATTTCTCAAAACCCCATCTGAAATATCACTCTCAAATAAAACTCAATATGATGACGTTGTAAAAATTGTAAATCATCTTGTAAATCATTTACAAATTGTAAATCATTCTTCTTATTGCATTGTAAAAAGTATTAAATTATGTAGACAAATCTTATCTGTGGAACTCAGTAGTTTGATGGAAAGGCACCATTTTGGGAAGTGGAATATTTCAGTAGCTGAATAAGTTATAGCCAAAGAATAAGTTTATGCAAAAATAATTCTACGACGCATGAACATCGTTCCATTTACGCACTCCTTCGCTTCATCTGGTCTATGAATACATGAATTATGAACAACGCATTTCACTTCACGCATTTGAAAAAAAGTGGAACTTTCTTCAGATGAGGATGTGAAAAATGGATGGAGAACAATACTTTGGAGTCACCCCCAAGGATGTAGGAATAAATGCTTAGACTATATACGAAGATGCCTCCAGGAAAACAATCTGTATCCCTTAGCAGGATTCTGTGGCGCAGTTTCTTCCAAAAATATCATTAGATAAAGAAAGGAAAACGATTTTCTCATGTCTGGAGAAAAACGCAGAATCATATAGAAACCAGAACATATCTTCTGAGGTCAATTTATTTTCCTGCAAAGATAATTCTTTTGAAGGTTTTGACCTCAAATGACGCGTTACGACGGAAATGCAGGTACATTTTGCATGCATCATGTTTCTGAAATTTCAAAACCTGTATTTTTAATTTATCTGCAAAATATTCCTATATGTTTGGAATCAAGTATTGGCACACATCTCCATCAGCTGGATGAAGGAATTAAAACAAAAATTAAAGCATGGGATTTTACCATGAAATTTAAAAAATAATTTGAAAAAGTTTTACTGCATTTTCTCTTGATGCTATAAACAGAATCCAAAAAAAGGAATTAGAAAAAAATTGAAAGATCAATTTTTAGCACGCATTAGGAATTTGAAAAAAAAATTGCGCCAAAATACAGCAATATGTCAAGATGCTTGCCAAGCCCTTTTCAAAGTTTATAAAATGAATGAAATAAGCCACCTGACCAATGGTGGCTTATTTCATTCATTTGAGGAGAGATGAATTTATTGTATTTGTTTGAGTAAAGTTCAATGAGTTGAAGACCAGGAAAAGTTTTTTTTTGTGACATCTACTCGCGTTAGAGCATGAACATTTTTTTTCCTTTTAAAAATACTGTAAACAGTTTGTGAATAACTATTTTTTTATATTCGTTTATTGCTATACGAGTTTCTATGCAATATCATCACACCAGATCAGAGACATTTGGAAACCACAAAAGAAAATATTCTTGTTATCAAAATCCTCGGTTAAATAACAGGTGTTCAAACAATTGACGCAAGACTCGTTATTCGCGTTTTTTCACACCTGTTTCTCAGGAACAAATTCCCAGCACCTAATTTTAGAAAGAAACCAGGCATTTTCTTTGACAATATATTTTACAAAATATAGAACCGATTTCTGAAGAACAACTCTTTTTGTGTTTCCGTTCTATATTATTCTCAATCCTGGTCTAATCTGAGCTGTCAAAGAACTTTCTTGTCTCAAATGAAAATCAATCAGGACTCTGAGAATAATGCAATTTTCCCCCTTCCACAAGAAAGTAACTCTTCTATACATAGACCGATATGAAGGAAGTTATAAATAAACATTTCAATGTCAAGTCGATGTATGCAGAACGTAATCAAGATTGCCGCGCTTCTGCGGAAAAGCTTCATATCACACTGACGACTAATTACTAATTTACCAGAAGCTTTCCAGAGGAACCTCAGAATGCATAGAAGAGAAGATATGTAGCCTAGACATTTAATCAAGGAGTTGTCAGGGCTGTATACAGGGATTCTCTATGGCTCAAAGGAAGTCTATGCAAAGAAATACCTTCATCCAGCTCTATAATATTATCCCATGCTGTGCCAAAGACTCGTAAGACCAATCTAGAAATTCGTATGGGACACCTGGAAAATACATTTTCCCTGAGAAGAACAGAAAAAAATTGGACAGGAAGTGAAACATGTCACAGCATTTTCTGGCTTCCAGACATCAAACGGAAGAAACCGATTTTTCCCTGCCTACATAGAAAATTCTCTAGAAAGTACAGCAGTAACCTTTTTTTTTTTAAGCAGCCAAGTTCGTTTCGAAAATGACACAAAAATGTATTTTTTTTTCTCGTCGGCAATGAAATATTTGCAGAAGACCGCGAAACTAGCTGTGACATCATTTTTTTAATCGACTTTGTGACGTATACACGAAAGTACTGGCTTTTCCAGTTGGCTTTGTTTCTGGGTTTATTTTTTCTGTCAAGTTCGGTTGTGACTTTGAAATGCAGGAAAAAACGAGGGTTCAAAGAAAAATGCTCACTCAATTCCTCGTATGACGATGACTGATTTCTTTGTATTATTTTGCTGACAGTGACAAGAGCGTTGGCAGTTTCTTCACTGCGTAGCTCGAGCATCTGCAAAAGACAGAACCCCGTCTCCGCCAATATTTTCGCGCAAAGTTTAACCCAGCTATTAAAAACAAGAAAGATCGCAGCCAAAAACAGGGTTCATTTCGTGATATTTTTTCCGGAACTTTTCGCGCAAAACTGCAATTTTTGTGACACAATATGGATATCATAAGAAAAGAATGTTCTAAAACGAGATTTATTCAATTTCATTATAAATTATAATCTTTTAAATGCGCGTATATCGCTATTTAAAGCATATGGATTTTGATTCGTACATCGGAGTTTCCGCGCTTTAAATCATTGCATTTTATGATTATACAACCATTTTTTATGATGCCACGAAAAAAAAATCCCATCAGAAATTTCTCAGGGAAGTTAAAGGGAAAAAATCAGAGGGATCTCAGGAATTTCAGATCTTCCAATTTCTGTCAACATTTGCTTTCAGGAATACAAAAAAGTGTTTGGACGAAGATTTTTTTCACACTCGAAGCACGAGAACAGATGGTTTCAGAAGCACAACCAGTCGCAAGTGGCAACAACACACGCACAGAGGATCTCTCAAGGCGCAAAAACCCGGAGGATCCTTTCTTTCAAGTCGCGGTATAAAAAAGAGAGAAGAAGCTTCTCCCTCTCGCAGGATCCCTTTCTTCGTCTTTCCTCTTCTTTTTTTTTCTTCTTCGTTCTTTTTATGTAGGGGATATCTTCACGGATTTCGAAAAGAATAATAAATGGTCTTGTTGAGGTTTTTCTAAGAGGGATCTTTCCCCTGCTGGGAAGGAAGCTCAGGGGAAATGGGTGACGGGTTCTTCCTCCTTTCCTCATTAGTTTGCATTCCCTGGGTAGCTGGGTTTTCTCACGATCCACGGGGATGAGAAAAGGTGGGGTTTTTTTTTCGCAATCAGCAGGTTGCATTCATACTGTATATACTCTTCATTTCCCGATTCATCTTGGACATTGTTTGTCTCAAACAATTTTTATTTGATGGAATGAAATAAAAACGGAGTCATGTATTTAAATATATTGTAAATAAATAATTTAATAAACTTGGCGGCATTTTTTTAGAGCAATCAAATCGGGAAGACCTTGTTGACGTAGCAATTATTAAAGAAAAAATGGATCTAAAATAATTATCCTAATGTTTTAGAATATTTATTTCTTGATTCAATTTCATGAAGAAAATTAGGTGAATTTTTATTTGAGGAATTATGATTTATTTAGGAAAATAATTTACTCAAATATTCCATCAATCTTTGACTTCAGTGACCAACTATTTCCAAGTTTCAAAAAAATTTTCGAAAAATTAGAAAGAATCAAACGAGAAAAATCGTCGCTCAGCTTCGGTTTTCCAGTTATTTTTTCTTGCTAAATTCCGTAGGCCATTAATTTTTTATCAGGTTTTGAAAAGGTCCAGAATTGTTCCTAATTAATTTTAAATATTTCAGAGTCATAATGGATGAATGTATATACAAGGGATTCGTACAAAAATGAAAGATCGAGCACAGCAGAGAAGTCGCCGAAAATTATTTTTCATTGGAAATTGATAAAGGTCTCCAGAAAAATGAATTAACTATTGGCACTGTCAAGTGTCATTATTCAAATACAGTATTGTATAAGAGAATGTGGGTTTCCTTCATGTTTAATAAAGATGTTCACATGGACTTCGCGTCCAAATTCCATGAAATATTCTCTTGACTTTGTTGGCAAAAAAGGGGGAAAATACCAGAGGAATCATGAGTTGAGTGAAACTTTCGCTATTTTTGTGATTCATCATTCCACATTTTTTTCAACATTTTTTTTTTCATATTCCGAACTCTGAACTTATGCGAGAGTTTCCCCAAAACCCCATGTGATAAAATTCTCATAGAGGTTATTGGTTTGAACCCGTCATTCCCTTGAAAGTTGAGTTTGTTACTTTCTGCCTGTCCATGTCAATTTGAAAGTGACTATCATATAAAATTGAAAGAAACTTTGTGGGCAAGGTTTTTAGTTGGATTTATATAGAAAAAATTCATAAGTAAAGTACTTTATTCAGTACTTCGAGAATATGGTTTCGGGAAAAGTTTTTCTCCAGGCTAGGATGATATTCATTCAAAAAGCATATAGAATAGCGTACATCATGTCATATTACAGAAGCTTTCAGCAAAGCTAATGTTTTTTAGCATAAGGGCAGATGTATGTCACCTTCTATGCGCCAAATATGCATTACCATCAGCAGTACTTTGGTGACAGGAACCAAAGTCTAAGATGGCTTCATATTCATAGAATTTGTGATACTGTACTGTATTTCCAAACATCATTAAAAGGGATCACTGCTGTGCAGCGAAGCTAAAGTCCTGAATCCTGAGTGCTCATTTCCATTCATCTTTATGAGATGAAAACTTAGGAAGTAATTTCGGAAATAGCCTCAAAAATTCCCCTTTGCCTCAATAATTTCTTCAGGATAAAAATTAAATATCAGAATTTTCACAAATACTGTCCCAATGTAGGCTTCTTTAAGTTTTCAGAAAATTGGCCTCATTGTTTTTAAAATTTTTGAACAATGAACATGTGTTTCTGGACCTTTATCATAAATATATATTGATTATTCAAAGGTTTAATTGGAGGAGAATTGTTTCACCTTTTTAAATTTTTCGCTTCCGTGAGACACCGCAGGGAATCGAATTTTTGTGAAAGGATGACTGCCACTTTCTTTCATAATTCTATGGCAACAGAATTTCATAGGGGAAAGTTTTTGAACTGAAAGAAAATCAATGTTTCGGAAACCTGTTTGGAAAGAAATCTGAGCGGCGGCATGGTAGAGCGCGACATCTACAATTTATAAAGAAATCCCTTATTGACGTGTGGTTGTTTACAATAGGTAGATCCCGCAGTCAGTGACTCCATACTTATGGAGCCATGACTCGACTCATGGGCGACATGAATGACGCAGAAAAAACGTTCCCACTTGAAATTTTGACTTGAAATTGTGAATAGATTTGTAAAAGTACTCACTTCTTCCCAATCCTCTTGACTTTTTGGATACAATGTGGCAGTCAGGTGAAGTTCTCCGGCGGATTCCTCTTTGCCTGCTATTGCTAGAGGTAGTTCCAGTTCTGCAGGTCTGTACAAATAAGATAAACCATGAAAATGTTATAATGGTTCCCTGGCATTTTTTTTTAAACATTCCCTCACTTGTAAAGCTCGAACTTGGTCATATCAATGATGGCTGAACCCATGAAGTCATCTTGGAAGCCCCAGTCATAATCAAAGACCTGAAAATGCAAATGATTAATTTTCAGCTGAACATTTACGAAGCAAACTTATGACCTGGAAAATGCAGGCTTCATTCCAGTGCTGAAGTGAGACATTTATTATGAATCAATTCTTACACATGTATAGGATTAATTATCGCAACCAGTCCTGTACAATTGAAAAATTCACGAGATCATAAATGTTCAGCACTTTGAATTGATGGCGAAGTTGACCTCGTTTCATTAATTGCTTATTCAATCACCTTCTTTCAACCTTGAATAGTTTTTCACATGCTGATTGATGCAAGAATAGTATGTTTTCATGCATATCGCGAATTTTCATAGCTTTTCAAGATATGATAATATATTATTCACCTTAATCAACACAGGTTCGAATGCGTCTTCCACTGGTAACGTGAAATACTCGTCCCAATATGGATTCAGGTCCTTGTAAACGATTTTTGATTTGTACATCAACTTCCCTCCGATTTTGAACTTCACATAAGGGTCACTGGTACCTGCGTGCACACGTAATTTCGAGTTTTAATAAATACAGGAATTTTGAATAGAAAGAAAAATGCCTACCACACGAATCCATCGCTACTAAACTGACTCCTCGTTTGAGATGGATATGCAATTGAAAGAAAGGGTGCTTTTTCAAGTCGTGGCGATGTTCTTTGCCTCCAGGTGTCGCTCCAAGTCCGAATTTCTTGTGCTGAAAATTATAAAAGCATCATAGAAATATGTGAATCTTGAGATCTTTTCACTCAATGCAAATAATTGGAAGGCAACTTTGAAAAAAAAAAGCTCACAAAGAATGAAGCCCCGTCGGAAGAATTTCTTCGATTAGAGCTTTGTGTTTCTTCTTTTTCGACATTCAAAATTTGTGGGCTTTCGTTTGAATTAACAAGCGGAAACATTGTCTCAATTTTTGAAATTCTTTGCGTCATTTTGTCACTGATCATCATGAAGAAGGTCAGGTATAAAGCATACGTCAAAAACACGTGATAATCATTTGTAAGTAATTGCCGTTGACCTGAAAAAATTTAAATTCACATGCGAATCTTATTTTTATTTTCAAATTGAAAATTTTTTTCACTGTAACAGCAAACATTTTTTTTGAGGAGAATTCAATTTCACTGCTACTATATTTTTTACTTCGCGGAATTTTTCCATTATTTCGGTCTTGCAAAAATGTATTCGCGTGGCAAAACCGGGACTGCGCAAAATGTGTGCTAATCAAGTCCACAGCAGCGACATGGAATATGGCACTGAATAAGATCCTTGACTAAATGTGAATACGGAACAGATGCTTCACCTCATTTCCTGGTTGGGGCTGTTACAAAATATATTTGTAGAAACAAGTCCGAGAAATACTCAAAAGAATCTTTTATGTAATAACGTGTGAAATGTGGACCTTTTTTGGTGATTCGAAAACATAAATTTTTTTTTTATGAAAAGCTCCTTTGGGCTTCAATTTTTGAAAAATTAATTGTCAATGGCAATGAAGGAAAGCGTCAGAAAATTATTTCAGAAAGTCGCCATGCAAACGTATAGTATTTAAAAATCTCATAATACAAAATTAGCGCAACTGTGGATAATATTTTTTCACAATTGAAAATTAATTGTGAAAAATTGGTAGCTAAGCCTCAATCTAATCCAATAATGTCTGTGTATGTCTCCTTTGTCACAATTTTAAATCCATCCTCAATGAAAAACTTTATTCGTTTTCAAGATTATTTTTGTTGAACCAAAAATCATCTCTTTAAAATGCTTGTGACTTTGAAAATACTGTATTTCATATTGTATGCATAACCGTAGCTTTTATGAAAATTAACTATTTAGCACCTTCAATTATTTGTTCATACCTCTAAATTATGTCAGCCATCATACTAAAAAATTAAAATATAAAAAACCAAATAAAATACAAATTTAAATGGAGTTCAATTTTCGAATGAAGTGCAGTACAGTATTTTGAATATTTTTGTGAAAATCTGTCGACAGTTTTCTGCATCGTCTTGCGTAAATGTTTGATGCCCAATCAACGGACCTGAAAAAATTTGCGGAAGTGGAAATCCCAATGATGAAATCAAGTTTGCATTTTCAGAGTTGGAATGAGACATTTTTTCGGGACAGAAACCTGCTGTATTTTTCCAAAGATAATGACAACCTCTCCTTGAATTAACGTATTTGCTTTTGATTCATGATCACGTGAGGGACGAGCAGCATTTGTTGGCAGAAAAGTGAAGAAACTTCGTGGAACCCCACTTCATCTTTCCCCCAAAATGTCCATGTTGAAACTGCGTTCATTATTCGCCCGCTTCCCGACAAAATAAGCTAATCCTGACCTTCATCGGATATGTGTGATGATTTTCTTGCCAATCACAATATCTATGGGCTATGCTGTGTGTGCACTGTGCAGCATGAACATCAGAACCATGGATCCTGTTCCATGTGAATGCCAAAATATATTCGCAAAAGCTTCTATGCTAATGAGGGAATCACACTCAGATTTTTACGAGGCTGACAGATACTCTTCTGTGCGATCCGATGATGAGTTATGAGCAAATCGTTTTTTTCCGTGAGAGGAATTGAAATACTGTACAGTATTACTTAGGGTCCTCTATCCACTATAAACTAACTTTCAGTCGACGCATTTTGCAAGCATAAAGCAGATGTCGCTCGAAGGCAAGTGACTCCACCGTACCGAAGATCGACTCATCTCGCCTGCGCCCACATCAAAGCTTATGTACAGTAAATACACATCAAATAGATGTCTCCAATTATGAAAGTTTGACAAGAGCAATCGAAAAGTTGGGAAGAGAAAGTTTCACTGTACTATACATGTTATTTCCAGGAAGTGATTTACATATATGCATACATTATATGCTCAATAACGAGGGCACAATATATTAAGTGGTTCCTTTTGCTTTCCTTGAAGCAATCGGGGGATTGAAAAAAGGGAATGGAGGGTTTCCCTTTTTGGCTCAGCTGGCTCCGCAACAACTCCGTGTATCGATTGTTGCCCTTGTAGGGCCACTGCCCTGGGCTATGGCAAATGTCCAAGCCCGTGAAGGGAATCACGTGTATTAGTGATGGGGGCGGGTCGCATTTTGGCTGTCCGGGATTCCATCAGTCAATACTGAATCACACTATGATTTTATATTTCATTTATATTGCTGAAATAATAAGATGCTTTATTCTGTGAACAGTCGAACTCCTTCAATTCAAACTTTAGGGCACCAGAAAAAAAAATTCAAGTTCGGGAGGTTTTCTCAGCTGCGGGGGAAAACAAACATTTAAGTTGTGGGAAAGAAATAAGGATAAAAATGAAACCTTTTCGGGTCAAATTTGAACAGGACCAGCAAATCTTCGAGTTAGGGCAATTTCCTGACGGGGACACAAGCATTTTTTGTTGAAGGGAAATAAAGAAGAACTACAGTATGAATAATTTATTCTGAACCTTAAATTGCCTCTTACATTAATTAATAGAATGCTGAACTTGGAGGCAAGGATTTATTGGCCCAATTATAGTCTTTCAATTCCTTTCAAAACATATCTGAACTACAGTATGAATAATTTATTCTGAACCTTAAATTGCCTCTTACATTAATTAATAGAATGCTGAACTTGGAGGCAAGGATTTATTGGCCCAATTATAGTCTTTCAATTCCTTTCAAAACATATCTCTACATTTTTATTGCTTCTCTCTTTCCTGCTGTGTTAATAAAATAATAGCCAAATGGCACCACAAAATTCGAGTTATGGAGATTTGAGGAGGAAAGCCTTTGAGTTAGGGAAAATTTTATTGCATTGTTTCTGAAAAATGTAGTCCAAATCTTTGAATATGTGTGTTGAAGAATAAAGAGGTCAAATTTGTATTCTGGGAACGTTGTTCTCCCAAATTGGCTGGCATCAACCGCTTGGAAGAAAGTTTACTTGATGGAGGTTAATCAGATTACCTGAAATCAGATTATGGGGCAAGGTTACTGATTTTTTTGTGTGCTGCATACAATTTATCTCTTTTATTGTAAAACACATTTTAAAATGCATTACTACATACATTTACAAATTTTTTTTCAAAGCACACATAATCTCAAGGAAAAGGTGACACTTGTTTCCTGCATGAATTCTATGAAGAAGAATAAATTAAAGCTGTCCTTATGTTCATACTATTTCTTCCAGTGATCAATTCAAAATCTTCTGCCTCAACTTTTCTTCATCTTGAACTGAACAATATATTGTTACAAATGGTATTTTTTATCATTCAAGGCTTCACTTGTGTGAACCTGCTAAAAATCCAATTGTGGTGACTTGTCACCAGCATCTTTTGTAGTGCACTTTTTCATTGATGCAGCTCATGCCCTTTTTGTTTACATTAACTCTTTTGCTGATTGCAACTCTGTTTCCTGGATGCTTGCCTCTGATACTAACCAGAGTCAAGCATTCCAGGTTAAGAACCTCTAAAAGAGTCAGACACTCTTTTAACCTTCCCTTAGTTTTATTCATTGTTGTTGTCTTTCTAAGTAAAAATAACGTAAAAAGGATAACAATATGCATTGAGAAAATCCCTTGTCCTAAATTGGGATCTGTTTTGAAATAAATATCAAGCACTATAAGCGTTTTGCCACGCATCAATAGACGTTTATAACAGGGCTCAAATTGTATAAGAAAAGGGGCATTTTCTGTTTCAAGCTGCTCAAAATATCCCTGTGTTATTTTTTAGAGAAAATAATACTTCCGCATAGGTTTATTAGCTGTGCGAGTTGTTTTCATTACAACTTGAGGGGTAACAAAGGAACAAAACTACCCTTGCGAATCATATTTATTTTAATAATAAGTTTAAAATAAGTTAAGTAGATATGGCAAACTAATCTTAACAACTGGATACACTCTTGGGAGAGAAGCTATTCTTGATGAACATTTTAATGCTGCAGCATTGATTGAAAAATGAACATGCAACAACTTCTTGCATTCTTGAACAGTAATTAGCTTGAATTATCAACAAAAAAGGTGCACAAATTAAAATTTCCCATATATGCTTTGCAGTAAGAAGAAATCAGATCTACAGATAGGAGAGCCAGATTTCAATGCTGGATGTGAAAGCTGTATCATATCAACATAAATTTCAAATACTGTAAATTTATAATACACTGTATAAGCAAGGTTTACGTTGATCCAACTCATCATTTGAATTAGTCTTCAAGATGCAAAATCCCTAGAATTTATAACATTACCAATTTTCTTGAGCAAAGACTCCTCAATCTGTAGGACATCTTTATTCTGGCAGTGTAAGTTTCTGTCAACTTTGTCTACAAGGAAAATTCAACATTTAAAACAGCATAACTTTTTTAAAGCTTTATATGTACAGTATTGCACCTGTTGGAAAAGATTAATGACATTCAACAGAAAAATCATGATAATACAGCCATGAACCAAGGAGTGTCTAGATTTGCCTCATCAAGATTCTAATGGGAGTCTTTTCAGAAAATTCTGTATCTTTTTGCGTTCATATTTTTTTGAATTTTCCTGGATTTCTTTAGGAAAAATGCGTTTTAGCATCGGGGTATCTCAACATGGGGACATCACAAAGGAGAATCATGCCCGCATCCCAAATCAGATAGAAGTGACATCTACCCAATATTTTACGAATTAAACAGACAATGATAGAGAGCTAAGATTGATTTAAAAATATATATATTTTCACATATCCAGATGAATCAAAAGGGGGTTCAAAGCTGGCAAAAGAGCGAAGGAATATAGAAGTTCTGGAACAACTTATTTCCAGAGAGCTCTGCTTTCGCCAGTCATCCTCATCCCGGTTCACCAGACGTCTGGCAGCTCGTTTTCTCTCTTCTCTGTGCCCCAGGGCAGGGCATTTCGCTTTCTCCACTTCTTCTCATCCACTTCCATCCCTCCAACCCCCAACATGCACCCCCTGCTGTTCTTATATACTGTATATATATATTTTTTTTCTCTNCTCTAAAAGAGTCAGACACTCTTTTAACCTTCCCTTAGTTTTATTCATTGTTGTTGTCTTTTAAAGTAAAAATAACGTAAAAAGGATAACAATATGCATTGAGAAAATCCCTTGTCCTAAATTGGGATCTGTTTTGAAATAAATATCAAGCACTATAAGCGTTTTGCCACGCATCAATAGACGTTTATAAAAGGGCTCAAATTGTATAAGAAAAGGGAGATTTTCTGTTCCAAGCTGCTCAAAATATCACTGCGTTATTTTTTTTATAGAGAAAATAATACTTACGCATAGGTTTATTAGCTGTGAGAGTTGTTTTCATTACAACTTGAGGGGTAACAAAGGAACAAAACTACCCTTGCGAATCATATTTATTTCAATAATAAGTTTAAAATAAGTTAAGTAGATATGGCAAACTAATCTTAACAACTGGATACACTCTTGGGAGAGAAGCTTTTCTTGATGAACATTTTAATGCTGCAGCATTGATTGAAAAATGAACATGCAACAACTTCTTGCATTCTTGAACAGTAATTAGCTTGAATTATCAACTAAAAAGGTGCACAAATAAATTTTCCCAGATATGCTTTGCAGTAAGAAGTAATCAGATCTACAGATAGGAGAGCTAGATTTCAATGCTGGATGTGAAAGCTGTATCACACCAACAAAAATTTGAAATATTCTACACTTATAATACACTGTATAAGCAAGGTTTAACTTGATCCAATTGATCATTTAAATTAGTCTTCAAGATGCAAAACCACTTGAATTTATCACAGTACCAATTTTATTGAGCAAAGACTCCTCCATCTGAAGGAAATCTTTATTCTGTCAATGTATAGGTTTTTGTCAACTTTGTCTATAAGGAAAATTCAACATTAAAAAAAGCATAACTTTTTAAAAGCTTTGTATGTATTGCAGCTGTTGGAAAATATTAATCACATTCAACAGAAAAATCATGATAATACAGCCATGAACCAAGGAGTGTCTAGATTTGTCTCATCAGGGTTATGATGGGAGTCTTTTCAGGAAATTCTGTATATTTTTGTGTTCATATTTTTTTTTAATTTTCCTGAATTTCTCTAGGAAAAATGCGTTTTAGCATCGGGGTATCTCAACATGGGGACATCACAAAGGAGAATCATGCCCGCATCCCAAATCAGATGGAAGTGACATCTACCCAATATTTTACGAATTAAACAGACAATAATAGAGAGCTGAGATTGATTTAAAAATATATATATTTTCACATATCCAGATGAATCAAAAGGGGGTTCAAAGCTGGCAAAAGAGCGAAGGAATATAGAAGTTCTGGAACAACTTATTTCCAGAGAGCTCTGCTTTCGCCAGTCATCCTCATCCCGGTTCACCAGACGTCTGGCAGCTCGTTTTCTCTCTTCTCTGTGCCCCAGGGCAGGGCATTTCGCTTTCTCCACTTCTTCTCATCCACTTCCATCCCTCCAACCCCCAACATGCACCCCCTGCTGTTCTTATATACTGTATATATATATTTTTTTTCTCTCGTGCTTGTGGTTCCTATATACACTTTCCTTCTTCTTTCTCTATAGTCCCCAGGAATTTTCCCCATGTGATGTTATGGTGAGGGAAAGAGGATCCCTGTCCTAGATGCCTGGCAAGCGTTTTCCTCTCTCAGTCATCCCGGCTTTCTTTTCATTGGACTGGGATCCTTCACGGATCCTGTTTGGAACACGAATGGTTCCCAGGGCTTTTCATGGTCACACGAGAGCACTTGAGGTTCTGGCAAGCGTTTTCCTCTCTCAGTCATCCCGGCTTTCTTTTCATTGGACTGGGATCCTTCACGGATCCTGTTTGGAACACGAATGGTTCCCAGGGCTTTTCATGGTCACACGAGAGCACTTGAGGTAATATTCCTCAAAGACAAGTATTTAAGTGGGGTACCTTTAAATTAGGTAGAAAAGCGGATCAACAGGCAGGAATTGCAATTTTATTTTTCATTTTCAGGGTTGAAAAACCTTCTGAAAAGGTTTCTGGTATAGATGAAGCAGTATAGATTATTTATTACTTCTTTGTGAGGATGTCTGAGTTAACAATCTGATCTTGAATAAATTATTTGATTTCTGAAACATATCCTCGTACTTGGTACTGTACTAATGAAAATCATAAAAATTGTCAAATTTTGCATTTTTCATGAATTTAAACAAATGGAGCGAGAGTAATTCGAATTCATAACTTTCTTTCTACGCAAGCCTGAGAGATTAAAATCGGGAGTGTTCATTAAAATTGCCAAAAATGCATTGCAAAAATCCATTTACAGGTATTTCAATCTTGCCTAAAAAAAATCCGAAGAAGGAAGCACATTATTTTCAAACATACAAATCAACGCGAAATTTTCAGTATAGTCAGCGTATTTTTTTTAAATTTCTCAACGAAAAATGTTTATTTAATGGTACGTTTCCTAATAAGGAGTTCTTTAGTGTACGCATTGCAGAAATAAGACCCTGAAACCAGTACTGTACAAAGAAAGTGCCTCTTTCCTTGGAGATAAAAAGGTTTATCCTCATCAGATTGATTTGCTGAGGACCCAATCAAGTGCTTAGTTACACACAGAAGACCCATTCAACCGTACAACAAAACCCACAAAAGACAAAATAAACTGCTTCTGATGAGCTCTTGTGTGTTTTAGTGTGTTCCTGACGTTCATCTCAACGAGTCTCTGAAGAAACGGGGACAAAGTTTTATAGACCGTAGAAAAATACCCCCAGGGGTATTTCTATACCCACACTCTAGGTGAGCAAAAATTTACATGATGCTAAAATGGGCTCCGGGAAACCTGAGAGAGAAGAAAAAAGGAGGCTTTCACCACAATTTTCCGGAGGTTGACGCTTCATATTGACGTTTAATGGAGAAACCCTTTCTGGGAAGATTAGAATGCCGTGGACATCTCCAACTTTTTCTAGCAGCTTTTCCTCTTTGTTTCAGAAGTCCTGACACTTCGGGAGAAAAAAACTGTTGACACTAAGCATTGCTTAAAAAGTCTGTTAAAATTTCACAAAATTCGGATGAGTTCCCATCTTCATCCAAGCTGAAATGCATCCAAAAGCTTGTGACTTACTGGAAAAGTTTGAAATGTGCGCCTTTATCGCATTTTTATTTCTGAAAATTCAATATTGACGATAATACTGTACATTATTTACATAATGTATATTAATATTTGTGATACTACACATGGATATCTATAATAAATTATTCATTCATATATTGACCTTATAACACAGATTTTCTCCAGAGCCTCAACTGGAAAGCCCAGAATTAAATTGAACTGAAATTCGGATTGCCAGCGACATCTACTCATACTGTAAAAATGCCCCTCCACCGTGGACACCATAGAAACATGTATTATTTGTAGCATGATTTTCAAACCTTTGATTTTAGACAAATGAAAGTAATTTTTAAAAGAAAACTGACCCAAACAACATCATGAAACCTACAAACAGAAAGAAAAAAAAGCAGAAAAAGAAAAAAATTATCATTCCTATAACATGTTATAGGAATGCTAATTTTTTTCTATTATTGTATTTTTTCTATTATTATTGTATTAAGATACTGCAGTATCTTAATACAATAATAGGAATTACATTAAAAGATGAAATTATCATTAAAGAGACTATTAGTATATTTAGAGAAAATTATTATGTTTTTAATTTTCAATTACATCTACTGTATTTGCAAACTGGGGAAGCTTTTTATTGTCTTTCATGAAATGGAGAAAATATATTTTTGAGATTTACAAGGCCGATCGCTATGTACCTTGAAATTTTGTTATTCTTTCCCTGATAGCAACAGAGGAATTCCTATAAAAAAAAATCAACTGGATGACCCAGAGTAAAGTATAAACTATTTCTGGTTGCCAGTGACATCTAGTCACACTATACCAATTCATCTTCATCATGGACCCACTATAGGAAAGAATGAATCGTACTGTATATTAATTTTTCCCAGTGCAATGAGCCTTTTAAAGCTTTCATTCCCAACAGCTGTAGCCAATTTC